ATGTGGCAAAAATGTTTCATGAAACCCGAAAGAAACCTAATGAAACACTAGATACTGGTGATCAAGATACATATGTAAGTAGAATATGTCTTCAAGTTTGATAATGATGTATTATATAGTACTAATATATGAATTAATTTTTATAGGATGAAATTGTCCAAGTCAAACAAGCAAACCCTTCACTTTCAGACATTAAGATAGTTGAGAAAATCTGAGGGAAGCAATCTCATGGTCACATTACTGTATTTGGTGGTGGGACTACTTTGAAAGATTTGAGAGTACTGCTCCCTAGTCAATCTGATCTGGAAGCACAGGTTATAGAAAAAAAGAGAAAGAACCAGATGCTATAACAATGCTTAGATGAGTAGGAGCAACAACAACATCAACAATAACAAAGGATGTCTGACTTAGAGTCACAAATTAAAGCTATGCGGGAACTTTTTTTAATGCAACAATCTTCATTGACTCCTCAAACTAGAGAACATATGCAAGACTAGGTAATTTTTTTTGTAAAATATCTTATATACTTTTATGATTGACTACTTGCAGTAGAGAAAATGTGATTTTTACTTAATAAGATAATATTTGCTTTATTGATCTTTCTTAATTATGTGAATTTTTAAAAATTTTCAGGCTATTCATGTAAGATTAGAAGAGGGGGTAGCTCGAGTGTTCTTTTGACGATGATTAGAGATGAAATGATGTGTCTTTTCCAGACTTTTATTTTAATTTATTTTAGATGGTTTCAGGTATTTTTCTTCGGAGAAATTATGATATTAACTATTGTTACTAGTATTGAATATTTGAGGATGATGAAATTTTATTTATTGATGTTATTAATGAATGGAGTTTTTGTTTTCCCTTTTATTCATCATTGTGTATTTTTAATATATCTGTGTTGTGAATCTTAGTATCATGTTGAGATTATATGATAGTTTCCTATGAATGGAAAGATTGTCATTAATATATATTAAAAATTTATAGTCTATAATGACGGTTTTATAAATCGTATTTTGTTCATCAACAAAGAGAAAGCATAATCGTTGATGAGTTACTAATTACCCACCATTAGGACTTTAATGATGGTATTCAACCGTCATTAATTGGTCTTCAACGACAGAGTTGTCACCCGTTATTACACAACAACAATGGAAATGAGAAACCGTCAATTAAAGTAATAACGGGAAATATCCATGTAACTAATGGTAACGACGGGCAAATATCACCGTCACTGATAGTAACGACGGGGAAAAACCCCATCACTGATAGTAACAATGGGGAAAAACCCCGTCACTGATGGTAACGACGGGGAAAATTCCCCATCACTAAAAGTAACGATGAGAAATATCCCCGTCACTGATGGTAACGACGGAAAATATCCCCGTCACTAATGGTAACGACGGAAAATATCCCCATCATTGATGGTAACGACGGTAATATGTTCTGTCGTTATAGACTATATAACGACGGGTATTAGAACCTTCGTGACCCTTTAGCGAAGAAGGCTTCAACAACGGGTGACGAAGGGATTTTTTCCTATCGTTAGCATACAATAACAAAGGTTTTCAGCTCTTTAACGAAGAGATTTCCCTTCGTTAAAGACATAATTTCTTGCAGTACTTGTTATCTTCCCTCGTCCCGACAGCTGCCCCCACAAAGAACCTTCCGTCAGGGCCTAGCGACGGGCTTCCAAGCTTCAGATAGCTCCTAATCCTCTGCACAATCTCATCCGTAACCAAATCGAGGACCTCGCTGTCATCAACAACAACAGGCGCAAACTCCAAATTTTCATTAACCAAGAATGCAGCAAGCTGCTTGAAGTTATGCCCAGCAGAAGCACAATTCAGAATTGGCCTCATGTAACCCGACACCAGCGAATCCTTATCCGATAAACTCTCCTAATCATATCTCACCATGACGCCGAGAAGTCTGGACTTCAAGCACCCGAATTTCGTTACGATCAAGAAGTTGGAAGAGCCAAAGTCGGACTCGGACGTAACGAATTCCGAAGGGGAGACAAACACGGGATCCGATACGAACGGGATTCTGCGAAGCTGACGATGGTGGCCTGGCAAGAGGGGGAGGCTTTGGAGTGGACGATGGCAGCGACGCCGAGGGAGGCCATGGCGACGGCCATGGAGGCCTCGGAGACGGTGTCCATCGGAGAGGCGACGCAAGGGATCGAGAGGGGGAATTTCCTCGAGAGGTGAGCGAGAGGTCGACGGTGTCGGCATGAAAATCGATGAAGCCGGGGTGGATGATGACGTCGTTGTAAGCATAGGTGACGCCCTCAGAGAAGAGGCAGGTAGCGGTGAAGCCGTCGTCGTCGAAGGCAAAGGCGACGCCGTTGAGGTCCATGGGGTTTAGGGTTTCTTTCTAGGGTCCTGGGGGGTAGAGAGTGGGGGAACAGGAAGCGAGGGAGGTGGCGGGAATTTCTAGGCATGAGGGGATGATTTATTTTTTTTGACTGAGGAAGGAGGAGGAGGAGGAGGAGGAGAAGATGGGTAAAATTGGATTTTTAGGTGAATGTTGCCTAATTATGAGCTGGAGGGGCTAGAGTACAGTTTTTTCAATTTTTTGGGGCTGCAGCACGTTACCAAAAGTATGAGGGGCTGGGGCGCATCACTTTTTGGGTTTTGGGGCCTTAAAGTAATTTTTCCTTGTTTCTTTTAGAAAATATGCCTCTTTGCATAATGTTAGAAAATGCCAGATTGAGATATAGATATCAATTTAGGTCAGGGTTTAAATATCAACTACCTTTACGGCTTTACATCACCAATATTCAATGCCTCTCGGAAAACGTGCACGGGAAAAAGAAAATCCCTTAAAATCGTTGAAGATTTTGCTCACAAATATCTTTACCCTCTACAAAAGTACAATTTTTTTTTTAAAAAAAGTCCGTTTTAAAATTGTTTTAGTAAAATTTAATTAAATAGCGAAATCAACATTTGTTTTGTCACATCAACATGATTGGCCAAAATGAAGTCGAATTTACAAATTAAAGTTTCTAAAATAAAAGGGATGACTAGTCTCGTGTATTTAGTGGCGTCAATCATAGGTTAATTAGATAGTTCTGTGACTAGCGATCGCAAGAATCGTAGTCTCGTATATTTTAAAGATCATATTTTCTAAATTGATATTTTTTTAACCAGCCGTAATGACATGGCAACACAAAGATTGATTTTGCTAATGAAATTTAAAAAAAATGTCCTTTAATAAAAGTTTCTCCTCCACAAAAACTTGTACTCCACTGAACAAACATCAACCACCAACAACAGTGCTAAGGTCATGGCGACGTTTATCCTATGCCTCACTTTGATCGCCTTCACCTTTGCCATCATCTTCTACCTTCTCAATCCAAAATCCAAAACCAATCTCCCACCAGGCCCAAAACCGCTCCCTATCGTCGGCAACCTCTTCATCCTCGGCGACAAGCCTCACCGTTCTCTAGCTCAGCTAGCCAAATCCTACGGCCCAATCATCTCTCTCAAGCTTGGCCAAGTCACGACCATCGTGGTCTCCTCCCCCGACCTCGCTCGCGAAGTCCTAGTCAAAAAGGACCAATCCTTCTGTTCTCGGTCCATACCCGACGCCGTACGAATCGTCGGCCACTATGACGGATCTCCAGTTTGGTTGCCAGCAAACCAAAAATGGAAGAATCTCCGAATAATTTGCAGAAGTCAGTTGTTTACTTCACAAAGGCTGGATTCCAACATTGCCCTCAGGCACAAAAAAGTGCGGGAGTTGGTCGAGTATTTGAGGGAACGTGGCGAGGCAAAAGAAGCGGTGGACATTGGTCGAGTTGTGTTCACGGCGGTGATGAACTCGTTGACGAATACCCTGTTCTCGATCGACATGGTTGATCCTCGGTCGGACTCTGCGCAGGAGTTTCGGGATTTGGTGTGGGGGATTATGGAAGTAGTCGGGAGTGCGAACGTTTCGGACTTTTTCCCGTTGGTGAGGGAGTTGGATTTGCAAGGGAAGAGGAGGAGGACTGAGGGGTATTTTAGGAAGTTGCATAGGATCTTTGATGAGCTCATAGATCGGAAGTTGAAGGAGATTGAACTTGGAAATGAGACTGATAAGGACTTTTTGGATGCCCTGCTCAATGGTCAGAACAAGCTCGATCGATA